CGACGGTCTGGGAAACATCCCTGAGGATGATCCGAAGACATACCATCCCAATTTTGATCCTCTGCGGAGGGGATGGCTACCCTGCTTTGGTAGCCTGACGACCTGCGCTGCGCGCGAAGTCGAGCACTTTGCGGTAGAACAGTTTAACGTGGACGGTGGAACAGTTTTACTCTAAAAGCATTAAACTTAATAAATTAACCTTAATAACTCGATCGGAAACAAAGACAGGCTACCGATTATGCTTCAAAGTGATACATTTCACTTTGATATACTTCGATGCATTGTGATACATTGTGATATATTTCGATGCATTTTTTACTGTGCTAAAACTTGTCTTGTTTAAGGCATGAACTCACATACCATACAATCCAATGTTTCAAACTTTTACACCTTTCATACCTTACCTAACCATATTTTAATTCAAAAGTTTAAGTATCTGAAAGTTGTAATCAAATAAATTAAAATCCCTTATTTGTTAATAACACACAAGCATAGAAAATTTCAAAAGATTGTGAAATTCGTAGATGTTCAGTTTCAAAACCCTTTGAAGTAATGCAGTTATCACCTTCTTTATAGTTCTCTTACGTTTATAACTCTTCAACATAAGTCACACATTTTATAACGCTATTTTTTACAATGCATAAACTTGAGTTAGCATATCCCTGGGGATTATTCAATTTTCATATCGGAATATAAATAATTCAGAGTAGCTTGCAGATCTACTCCCACTCGCTAAAATTGCCCTAATACTTTTTATAGTACTACTTTTAAATGTTTTATTGAACAGTTAATTCTACTTATTAAAATATTCTTTTTCGAAATAGAAATCTCAACAAAAGCAATCCTTTATTTTTTCGACTCAAATTGAACTCTAATTCTAAAGTAAATAAATAGTTCTACTGCTGAATTAATTTATTTTTTATTATATAAAAAACTATAACAATCAAAACTGCCGAAAAATTAGATTCAATAAATAAATATATTTATTTTAAAAAGACCGCCATTGCATATACCGCCATTGGAGAACGTAGCGAGACATCTCGGGATGCGATTGGTGTATCTGACTAGGATCGGAGCATGCGTGGGCGCCCGCATGCACAGGAGAGAGCAGAGGCTCTTATCAAAAGCGGCGTCCAAATGATGCAGCAGTCCGTATGAGGACAGGATGGCGTTCGCGTTACAAAATTCGACGATTGAAAAACAGCGAAGTGTTATCCGATTTCTGACATCGGAACAGTCCGACGCCTACGCAGGTCCATGAGGAACAAAAGACCAAGGCTGCTCACGGAGGGTGTGGTTCTGCTCCATGATAACGCACGTTCACACGTCTCCAGAGTCACACACACGGAACTGGCCAAGTTCAAGTGGGAGACATTGGACCTTCCGCCCTACAATCCAGACACGTTGCACTGCGATGTCCCTGTGTTTGGTCCACTGAAGAGACACCTGGAAGGGAAGCGCTTCAACTCGGACGACGTACTCAAGGACGCTGTGAAGGACTGGGTCTCGTCACGGCCGCAGGAATTCTGGGAACAGGGAATCCTGCGGCTTGTTCATCAGTGGGATCGTTGTGCTCAGGCCTATGGTGTATATTTTGAATAAAGTCTACATTTGTACCCACCGTGTCGTTTCGTACCTTTTCATTTGATCACCCCTTGTATATATATATATATATATATATATATATTTGAAATGCTCTGTCCCCTGTTGCAAACGCTCGGAACTACATTTCATTACCATGAATTTTACCAGATAGTTTTGCTCCGTTTATGAAAGGGAAAAAAACATCAACTCTAGTGCAAAATGTCTTCAAAACTAGCGGTTTCTTATTTCAACTATTTTAGAGACTGCTGTTTAGGGACAAAAATAGATAGAGAGTTTGAAATTTTCTGAAACTAATTCGAATTTTAAAAAAAAATTATTATTAATTAAAAATTATTATAGTGCTAGCCTGCAAAAAAATTATAGTTTCATTGCAATTACTTTCTCTTCTATATTGAAAACTCCAAAAACTACGAATATTTACTATTTAATTACTGCAAAACTAATTCGAAATGGGAGACATCTTGCTCATTTTCAAACATACGGTTGCTAAACGTAATAATTTTCCCGCTTTTAGTTTTAACTAAACTAAATAAAGCGTTGAAAGTAAAGAAGAAAAAACTTTAACCAAATATAGCATAAAAACTAATGATTGTTTCAATAACATTTTGATATATGAATATTCCTTACATTCCTCTAGAAATGTGGGAAATTTCATCATGTTTTATTCAAAAGTTTTTGAGTTAGGGAAGACAAAAGCGCGCTCTGTTAATACACGGGCATCAGGTGACGACGACTGAAATAACGCTTTTTCTTTCTTTCTTTTTTTTATTTTTAGTGAAGAGAAATTTATTTCCTTTTGACATAAGAAATCCTGATTTTGTTTTGATTTCAACTGTATTATTTCATTGACTATTAGCTACTTTAGGCGATCAGAGGGTCTACCCTTACCAACTCATCTGTTTCAATAATGTTTTGATGCATGAATATTCCTTATATCTTTCTAGAAATGTGGGAAATTCCATCATATTTCATTCAAAAGTTTTTGAGTTATGGAAGAGAAAAGCGCGCTTTGTGAATACTCGGCATCGGGTGACGACGGCGGCAATAACGCTTTTTCTTTCTTTTTTTTTTTTTTTAGTGAAGAGAGATTTATTTTCTCTTGACAAGATATCCTGATTTTGTTTTGTTTTTGACTGTATTATTTCATTGAATATTAGCTACTTTAAGCGTTGAGAGGGTCTACCTTTACCAACTCATCTTTTCGTGCCTAAAAATTGAGACTGATTCTGACTGCCCTCATAAACTTCCTGTTTTATTTCTCAGTGTTTAATATCTAACACATGATTAAAAAATATAGCTATAGCGCTTTCTATTTCGATTTTTAAAAAAAAGTTATCTCGGAGAAATAATTTTTCTGATAAATTATTAAAATTCTTTTAAATAAAGTTTTATAACTATTAAACTTCTAACTACTAGAAATAAACTAAATAAGCTTCTTATATTCTGAACTTAATAAAATACGTTACGCTGTCAAATGGGATTAATGGAATAATCTTATTTTTCAATCAAAACTTTTCGTTACTATCTTTCTCTTTTTAGTCGTTTGTTTTTCAAAAAAGAAATGCACCGTATTTTTGCTTTAATTTCAAACGTTTTATTCTGCAAAATATGATAAAATATTATTTACTAAATTCAGCTTTCGATTAAACGCTTAATTAATTGAGGTAATTAATTACCTACGGTAAACATAAAGCTTAATAATCGCATGTTAATTTAAAGCGGATATAAATTGATGGTTTCTTGTCTACTTTGAAAGTGTGATGAAAAAGTTTATTAATTTTTAACTTCAAATATTTTTGAAAATTAATATATTATATTAATAGTTTTCTACACTGGTTATAGTATTTGGTTATAGTGCTACTTAGTTCACCCTACGTACTGGAAGGAAACAATACGAAAAAAAATAATGCGATCATGTTTAAATTATTTGCGTTAACGATTTTCTGTAAGATTACGATTATTTTACCCTTTTTAGAGAACGCTCCTTTATATTCTCAAGATTGGATTTCTAGTCTTGGTGAAGACTCATTTTGAGTAAGGAATGTGTTGCAAATCAGGACCTTTATTTATGAATTCAGTGCTTTGAAATTAATTAACCCCTTATTTAACAATATTAAAAAATAATCAAAAATGAGCGAAACTTTTTTGTCCCATTAAATAATGTCTATTCTACACTTTAACAATTTTTTTTAATATTAAATATTATTTTACAACTTTTCATAGAATTTTTAATTTATCACTTATATTGTATTATAAAATTTTAATTAAAGTAATAATACCTTGTTTAATAATTATTAAAATAATTATCATAAGTTTTTGTTTAATAATTATTCTAAAAATGAGTTGAATAATAATTATTAGTAGAATTAATTAATAATTATTTGAAAATCATATAAATCAAAAAAGAATATGAAAGACTTACTTGTAAAATTAATAGAGATAAAAAGATGGTAATTGAGAAATGAAGAATAGGAATCATAAAATAGTGACCTCGAACGAAATATCAACAACTAAATAGTGATGTTCAACTTCAAATAACCACTCAATTCAATCACCACTAGTATTGTCAACTAGTGGTGATAGCGGAGAGTTATATTACAGGGACAGATAAGTTCAGATGGGATTTTTTTTTTCCATTTCAATGTAAATAATGTTAGTGGTAAAGTCCCCTCTGCATGTAAAGTGTTAAGATAAAAAAAAATTATAATTTTATAGATGTTTGTTAAGTTTTTTGCTTTCTAATGGGTTTTTTTCTGTCTAAAAATGAGATTGCCGCATGATATTATTTATATCATGGAACTCTATAAAATAATTAAACTTATTTTCAGTTATTGATGATATCTTGCAAAAATATGAAATATGATTGTGGAAAAGCTGACTTTTATAAATTTCTAGTGCATTTAGAAACGTTTTTGTAGATTACAAATGTTACACTAGTAACAAAAAGGAATTTTTTTAATTAGGCTGACTGTTTTCAAAAATAAAAAATAAATCTTGCGAAAAAAGTTATGTGACAGGGCTTTCATTTTCCCCTTCAAAATTCCTGATTATAGTTTTAAAAAATCCCGATAGATGGCAGTGCAAATATTTTCCATTACGTCCACTATTTTTCTTGTTGCGTTTACCTTTGAACACCATCTGTCGATAAATTTCCGAACTTTAAACGAGCATGTTAGGGGAAAATAATTATATTCAATCACAAATTTTTTTTTGTAGATTTGTTTTTACCTTGACTGTTCTCCCGGTATAGACTCAGAAAAAAAAAATGGCGGTTAGTCACTCAGAATAAATTACATTTTAGAGACCACGGGTGTCGTGTGGGAATGAAACTTGACTATAAGACATTCATAAAAATATCTCTTCGATTGTGAGACTAAAAATAATTTTTTTTTCAGATCTTACACCATCCCCAAAAGAAATTTCTTGCTCCCGCGATGATTGGTATAATACGAGAAACAGCAAAAAACTTACAACAAGTGGAAGTACTCGTCAACTTAACATCCGTCGGAGAAGACTTTTTATACCAAGTTACAACAGTTTCGAGCTCTAAAATGAAAGATTCTGACACTGATAGATATATTGAAAAACTTTCCAGATCACCTGAAGACCTAGGTATTTCCATATCTATAATGTGCAAAGTGTTTCCTTTTCACATTATATTAGATCGCGACATGCATATCGTCCAATTGGGTAAAGGTCTTCTAAGAATTTTTAAAGGAAAACTAAGTGAAGGTGAACGTCATTTTTCTTCCTTCTTCGTCATTAATTCTCCAAAAGTGGCAGTGACATTCGAAGATATATCTCAGCTTTCGAATGTTCCATTTGTTCTCATTGTCAAAGCAGCGCAAGGTGGATCTCAGAGTTTGCAGGTAAGGATTTGTGAGAGGTGAATCAATATTACAATTCAGTGCTGTTTTCTTTCAGTGATATATTATTTTTTTACCAGACGCTTGTGTAACAAAGATATATGACTGTTTGTTTAAAACTTTCCATTTTTCAACTTGAACTGGGATCCAAATCCAGTGAGTGAAAATAGAAAGGGATCTATATGCTTATATGTAAATTTTAAATCTAGCAAAGTACACATTTGAAACATCTGGTTTTGTTTGAGGAAATTCAGTGGAAGAAATATAATCAAATAATAACTTGTTTTTCATTACATTTTGAATATTTTTATAAACATATTTTTGTGTATTTTAAAGGCATTAAAACCTATATGCTAGAATGACTACTTGTAACATATATTATGTACTATATATATTATACTAAATATATTATCCTATATATACTATTGTCTATCTGATATAATCACTACTTATGACATATATATCTTTTAAATTTTAGCAATTTCAAATCTAGTTCTTTGCAAAAATAATTACGGTAAAACTTACTTTACAAAATGGAATAACATCACGAAATGTGACCATCATCAGAGTGCTACTTAATAACTAATTACATACTTTTAAAATTCTTGCTAAAAATGAAATTAAAAAAGTTCACGCATTAGTAATACAATTAAAGTCACATGCACATTAGGTTCTTCTTCAAATTTCATCAAGCAAACAAAATGGCTTTTGTATATTTCTTATTTCAGCTTTCATCATTTAGCAGTTCTTTATTGTATTTTTGTCTCTTCTACGTTTAAATCCTACGCAATCCCTAATCGGACACTTCTCTGACTTAATTTGTGACAAGGAGTTTAAAAATATATATTGAGTGATTACGAAACAATTTGGTGATGATTGTATTTCACAGTGGTATTTGAATCTTTCAAGTAAATTTTACCATAATTATTTTTTAAAGAAATAGATTTGCACTGTTGAAAATTTAAAAGTAAGATAGTCTACGTTTTCTGATATATTGAGTATATTATAGAAAGTTGATGAAATTTGCATGGAGATCATGTTAGCGTTTCGGTGGGATTATGTACTACGTATAAATTATCACACTGTAAAAATTTCTTTAAAACTGCAGAAAGAAAACAAGAATATCCGAAGTTAATGTACCGACACGCTAATCAAAACACTAATCAAACTCTTACAGCAGACACTGTTTCGAAATAAGGTTCGGAGAGTGTTTCGGAATAAGCTTCTGCTTGTCTAATTGAATTGTATTTTCTCCAATTCTTTAGCGATTATGGATTATACTTCCATGAAATGTCAGAGGCGGTTCCAGCCTCTAAAAGGGCTAAATTTCTATCAGATGGGAAATAATTTGCAAAGATTTTACTATCTTTCTGTAAAATTACTGAATCTTTTACGAATATTTTTAAAGAAAATTTCCGTTTTTAACTATTTACAGTTTTACACTAGATTCCCTATAAAATATTTTCCAAAGTGGATTGTTAAGTATTTCTATGAAGCGGCGATTTTCAGATTGCGATATATTGCGCAAGCAATCTTAAAGTAAAAAGTCTAGAATACTTTAATGAATTCTTTTAAAAACATAATTTTATCCTTTAGGCTGAGAAACTATGAATAAAATAAAATATGCTATTCAAAAAAGTATTATATACAACAATAAAGTAAAATATATAAAAGAATATTGAAAGTTAATACATAGAATCCTGCTTACCAATAATGATATAAGCTCCTTATTTCATATTGATGCAGCCGAAAAGTTACTTTTTAATAAAAGTTACCGGAAACGTTTTGCATGACAATTACCCGGTGATGAGAAATAAAGCAGAAGAAATCAGCAATAAATGATGAACGTAGTTATTCAAAATTTTCTTTAATACATATTCTTCCAAATTTAATATTGTATTTATTAAACATTTTAAGATTGCTTTCGATAGTTTTAAATTTAGGGCACTACTGAGTTTTTATTAAACTCTTTATGGAAAATTCCCTTTCTTATAGTACGTTTTACCGCAGTTATCTTCTGAAAACTATCTTTGTATTGTTGAAAATTCGAAAGAAAGAAAAGAATCAGAACTTTCTGATAATATCAAGTACATTATTGGAAGATGAAGGAATTTGCATTCAAAAGAGTGAAATAGCTTTTCAAAAGCAATAATGCGTGCCTCTCACTCAAACATGCTGAGAATCAATAAATCGAGATCGATTCCGCTAAAAGCGTGTTCAATTGATGCTTAAAGAGTTCCTTCCTTTATATTTCATCATTTTTTAAATGTAAAATAATAAATATGCTGTAACATTTTTATTGGAAATATGTTTCGAAATATAAAAAAAAAGCTGTTAAGATTTTAGTCTCTAAGTTCTATGAAACTTTCTAAAGAGAAGTGGGAAAACAGAATTTTTTTAAAAATGTAGCAAAAATTAAAGTGGCTAATGTCTTTTCCTTTTTTTTTTTTTTTTTTTTTTTTTTTAAATGATGAAAAAATACTAATGTAAAGCTTTTTTAAAGAAAAGAGAAAAAAAAAACCAAAGGGCTTATGTAATTTTTTTTAAAAAACGAAAAAAGAAATAAAATTACAGAAGGGTTAATGTAAGACTATTTAAAAAGAAGATAAAAGACAAAATGGCTAATAAAGCCGCGATGGTTCAGGGGATGGTTCGCCCTCCGCGATGGTTCGCCCTCCAATAGGTGAACCGGGGTTCGATCCCGGCTTGCAACGACCACAGTGCTGATGTGAAATATCCTCAGTGGTAGACGGATCATGGGTTAGAGTCCCCTTGCCGTCAGGGTAACCGTGGGAGGTTCTCCTGGTCTTCCTCTCCATTTAACACAAATGTGGGTTAGTTCCATCAAAAAGTCCTCCACGAAGGCAAATTTCTCCCAACACTTGATCCAAGAGCTCCCTTGTCTTCTGGAATGGATTCAAAATTACAAGGCTACGGAATTAAACATTAGTAGTCGTAAACCCAAAATCAGGTCGGTTATTCAACGACGGTTATAAAATAAAAAACATAAAATGGCGAATGGAAAGCGTTTAAGGAGAAGTAAGGAACTGAACGGTTATTGTCAAACCTTTTTAAGATAATTAAATATATGGAACAGCTTATTTCTAAACAATTTTAAATAAAGTAAAAAAGAAAATGGTTTATGTTAAACTCATTAAGGAGAAGTGAAAAATGGAATAGTTAATTTGAAAATTTTTAAAGATTAGTGCAAAATCAGAAAGGCGAATATAGTTTCCTTAAAATATGGAAGAAAAAAAGTAATGCAAGACTTTTTTTAAAGAGAAGTGATAAAAAAACAGAGCAACTACTGTAAATCTTTTTAAAGAAACCTGGAAAGAACATAATGTTAATTTAATTTTTTAAAAAAGAAGTGAAAAAAAGGCTAATGTCAAGCTTTTTAAGAGAAGCAGAAAAAGCTGAATGGCTAATGAAAAACGTTTAAGCGCAAGTAAGAAACAAAACAATTATGGTGAAACTGTTTTAAATAGTCCGAAATATTAAATAGCAAATTCAAAATATTTTAAAATGAAATAAAAAAAACAGAGTGGTTTATGTGAAACACAAAGAGAAGTGAAGAAGTGGAATAGTTAATTTGAAGATGTGCGTCAAATCAAAATGATTAATATAATATTTTTTTTAAATAAATGGAAACAAAATGTAGCGTAAAACTTTTTTTAACCAGAAGTGAAAAAACAGAAAGACTAACGTAATTTTTTTAAAGAGAAGTGAAAAAAAAAGGGCTAATGAAAAACGTTAAATACGAAATGAGAAACATGACGGTTATGTGGAACCATCTTACGAGAATTAAAAATACAGAAATAACTAATTTCTGAACTTTTTTAAATAAAGTAAAAAAGCAGAATGGTTTATGTAAACACAGTAAAAAGAAATGAAATTGATGATCAAAGCGGAATTGTTGTAAGTTAATTTAAAGCTTACTTACCTTAATTAAAAGCCCAAATTAATCAATTAGAAGCCCAAAAACGAAATATCTAATGTTAAAAAAAAACACTTTACCTTTTTAAAGGTAAAAAAAAATATAAATGCATAGTTATTAAAAAGGAATGAAAAATCAAAATATTGAATATAAAACACTTTAACGTGATAAAATAAAATGGTTAATGTAAAACGTTTTAGAGAAAAGTGTGAAAAAAAACTAAATTGTTAATGTAAGTTATTATGAAGAGGTAGATCCAGTGAAATTTTATTTCCAGTTTTAGATTTTAGCATTTGAAACTAGGTAGTTGTCTATTAAAAAATTATCAAACCTTTTAATTCAAAATTTTTTGGGTCAATCTTAAAATAAATATTAATAAATAGTAACATTAAATTATTTTTAATGAATTTATCTTCAGATAAAAATGATTTTTAACTGCAAGAAAAGTAATCTATTTCATTTAAGAAGTTTTTTTTTAACCGTTGTTGAACAGTTGGCACAATTTTAAGCTTACGACTACCAATGATCAACTCCGTAGCCTTGTACTTTTGAACCCAATCCAGAAGACAAGGGTACTCCAGGATTAAATATCGAAAAATATTTCGCCTTCGCGGAGGAGTTTTTGATAGAAATTTACCCACATTTGCGTTACATGGAGAAGAAAACCCCGAAAGCTCCCCATGGTTAGTCTGACGGTGAGGGGTCTTTAATCCATAATCCGGCTTGCAGTGAGGATATTTTAAGTCAGCACTGTGGTCGGTGTTAGCCCAGTGCGGAATTTGTATTTCGCTCTGGGCCAACATGCCCACAGTGCTGACATTATTGTCTCATGTCAAATGTCAATACGGAAAAGCCTACTTTAAGGCAGATGGGTGCCCTCCTTGCTTTCCAGTGGCGCCATCTATGATCAAGAATTTAACTTCTCTCACATACATACGTGACAGCCCGTTTTTTAGAGAAAACACATTCACGCACCATCCATACATCAGCAGTTCATAATTGTAACCAGAACCAGCGCGTGATTAAACTCCGATTCAGTACCCCAGAGCTATTGATTTGTTATGAGAACTTGAAGGACTGTATATCTCTGTCAGATTTAGCGTACTCCTAATAGAAATGAGTAGTTTCACAGATATTTAGAAATATGATAGATATAAAAATAATAAGTAGCCCAAATGCTCAAAAACTGTTAATATAGGAATTTTATTCTCACCAAATTTTCAGTCATAAGAAATATTTTGTTTTTAAAAAATTCTTTGGAAATCACATTATTTAGTTGAACATTATTTACTTTAATACACAAGTTTTGATTTGCGTCAATGCTCGGACTCGTTAACTAAAGTTATTAATATGCAGAAGACGTACAGAGGTTTAACTTTGACCTGCTTAGTTTCTTCATCAAATTTAGGTCAGAGAATCTCGCATTTGAACGCTTCATTCTTATTTGATTTGTTTTTTAAATCTTAAATATCGCATGTGCTGGGAATGCTGCAGTACTTTTAGATGCACTTTGCAGTGCTAATTTAGGGTGTCAAGCAATTAACTAATTATACATAATTTATTTGTTGCTGCAGAATAGAAAACGATGTACCCGAAATAATTACAAAAAGGAGTTTAACTTTTTTAGTATAAATAACTGATAAAGAATGGGGTGATTTTTTAAGTAGTTTTTGTTATAACTATTATATAAAATTTATTCTGACTATTTCGAAGTAATTGTCAAGTTAATTTAAAAAATTCAATTTTTATTTAAAGTAAGTCACCTTCGTCCCACAAACGAATTGCTATGTTGGCTTGGAAGGTTACATTAAGTCAAGAGATTTTCATTTTAATCTAAGACTTAAATCTTTGCATTTATAAAAGCTAGAGCTTAAAGATTAAATTTAATAACTAGAATAGAAATTCTTTCTTTCTTGGAATAAATTCCAAAAGCTCCTGCATAACTCTGAATTATGATCTTAAGTTTTACATTTTAATAGCCGGATTAGAGCTTAAAACCAGAAATCACTCGTTTGTATTTAAATCACTCCTTTAATTTATATTTAAGTAAACATTTTATTACAAAGAATTTTTAAGTATCTCAAAAGGGGCTTTTCTAATTGTTATTCATTATCGCTAATTTAGTTCCTTTCTGCATAAACCTTTATTTCCTAAAACCGTGGTGGCTCAAGGGACAGAGCGTTCACCTTCCAATGAGGTGCCCCAGGTTCGAATCCCAACTGTGGCTGGTTGATACGAATTATGCTCTCAGCTTGCATTGGCTACAGTACTAACATAAATATCATAATTGGTAGACTGATCAGGAGTTGGAATCACCTTAAAGTCGGGCTAACCGTACGAGGTTTTTGTGGTTTCCCTTACTATCTAACGCAAATGCTGGTTAGTTACATTAAAAAGCCCTCCAAGAAGGGTAGCTTGTCCTAAATGCTTGATCCAGGAGTTCCCTTTTCTCTTGGGCTGGGTTAAAAATTACGAGGCTACGAAGTTGAACATTGATAGTCGTAAACTGGGTCAACTGTTCACCAGTTGTAAAGAGAAATAATAATAATACTCCACAATCGAAATGAAAAGGACAAAATTTCACATGCATAACAAATAACATGCATGAAAAATAATAATAATACTCCACAATCGAAATGAAATGGACAAAATTTTACATGCATATTATTTTTGCGTCTAAATAACTAAGTGCATAAAAAATACAGCTTGATTTGCGAATGATACTTCGGGTCAATTCCCTGCAAGTGTAAATTGAGTGACTGAAGTTCGAATCAAAATCAACTAAAAAATAATAATAATAATAAAATTGTACCCTAGCGAAAATAAGTATTCACATCTGAAATGTTAATATATGTAAGTAATTATATATTCATACTGCATTTCTGAGTGTTTATTTATTTGTTTCATTTTCAGGGAATGAATATAAAGGGCCAGATGGTGTTATGTCCGGAATCCAATTCTTTACTTTTCTTAGGTTCACCTGTTGTCAAGGGATTGTCGGGACTAGTGGGAAAAGGACTTTATATTTCTGACATCCCAGTGCATGATGCCACTCGAGACATAATGCTAGTAGAAGAACAAACTAAAGCGCAAGATGGATTGAAAAAGAGAATGGATAAGCTTAAGAATTCAATTCAAGAAGCAAGTCAAGCAGTAGAAGAAGAACGACAGAAGAATGTAGATTTGCTCCATCTGATATTTCCCGCTGAAGTTGCCCGGAAACTTTGGAGAGGTTTGTTTCTTTAATCCTTCTTTTGATCTCTTATTTTTAAATCCTCTTTTATTCTTTAAACGATATTTAATTCTTCTTTTTCTTTGAATAAATCTCTTTCAGACAAAAGAGAATTTATAATATGCAAGTCAAAGTTTTTGGTTTAATTTTTAACGATATACTTTTTTTCTGACTCAATGCAAGAGTATTATTTTCTCAGAACGGGAAAGAAATTATTATAAGTCGATTCAACGCTATTTAAGAATTACAAATTTTTTTCACCGCAATGGTGCTCATACTAACTGCAACTACAGTTTAGTATAAATATCTGTTCACTATGAGAAAATAAAATTCATCATTGTTGTAAAATACTTCCCCTTAGCATATTTTCTAGATGCATAATTTAATAAGACATATAATTGGGTAGAGTTTGACACAATTCTGACATATGGTGTGGTCAACCATTTCCATGATCTGTTTTAATTTCTTCCTTAGCTTCGAACAAAAATTCTATAGAATAATTTTTTTAAGTATTTAAAGATTAATTTTAATATTATTTTAGTATTTAGCTCAGTCTTCTTTTAATATTGTATTGTTTAACGATACATTTTGAAAGCATTTCTTTTTCTTTTTTAATTTTTTTATTGCAAAAAAATTTTACACAGCAGGAAAACACTTATTGTACAGTTATTATAAACTGTCAAAAATTACAACTTTGTCAATATACCGAAATATCGGTTAAACTTTTATGCAACTATACTTCAATCTTCTTAAGCACATTATCTGACTTTATTGTAAATTGGGCTGCTTTAACACCCAAATTAGTTAGATATTTAATTTATTTAGACATCCGACTAGGTACTTTTCAATGATATTTTCACAAAGCAATATTTTGTTTGTTAAAAAAGAACAGTGTTTTGAGTATGTGGTTAATCCTTAATCTGAAAAATGTCACAGAAATGCTCCAGTGGGAGCAATCTGAAAGCTGTGAGGATAAAACATTGCTATATAACTAACCATAACCACAGTCGATCACATTTTCTTTTCCCGAACGCTGCGGCTATGATGTGTATATTATATTATATATATATTATATTATATTATATTATATTATATTAAATAATAATAATATTGCATAATATAGGTTAAATAAAATAATAAAAACATATGCCTTTTATTGTTTCCACTAATCAACTACTGAAAAATATTTATTCTATCGTATAAACATCACAAAGGTTCTAAATTCCAAATATCTTAAAATCAAATACCCTTAGACGCTAATGATTTCAATAGATATATGATCAGTTCTCAGTACTACGCTCATGAAGCGAAATAAACCCTACTTATATATGAACATACAGATGTTTAGATCAAACTTGCAAAGTCCCCTCCTCATCTATTAATTTAAGGTTATGGATATCTCAGCACAATATAGAATATTAATGCCATCAAAGATAGCGTTTGAAATTTGAAATCGTATTCATAGAAAGTCATGGAGCTTCACTCGCTATTTTAATGTTGATCTTCTCCATTTCCTTCTGTTTAAGTTGCCTGTAAATTTCGAAACTGCGGTACAGCAATTTTAGCTCATCTCATATTAAAAGCTGCGGTTCAAAGAAATTTAAAATTAAATGCATAATGTCTAATCTCTATTGTCGCAAATAAAATTCGAGATTTATTTTTATTATATGACATTTTTTAATGGATCTTGAAATAATTTGACGTCAATGATTTCAAATCTGTAATTGGTTTCTCTCAAGCTACAGTTTCTTGCCTGACATTTTTAGTCTATTTTTTATCGAAATGTGCTAGTTTATAAACGTTATATATAACACGGGGTCACCAAAATGTTGCGACTGACTTCTACGAGAGTTAGGGTGCATTATCAGGATTAAAGTTGCATAGCCACTCATGTCTGGAAATGTCGTCATACGCTACTGGGGGCACTTATAATAAACCATCAGTTCGTATGCTTCTAAACAGGTCACAATAGAAAAAATGCCCCTACACACATACGCGGACATTTCAGGCAAGGGTTTCTATGCAGTGTAATGTGCCGTTTCATTGCCGTAACATTTACTTAAACCCCAATTATATATAACGTTTTTAAACTTGCATATTTATACAAAAAAATAGGCTAAAGTGTCATTTTTAAAAATCTGTAGCTTTAGGAGCAAAACAAATTTAAAATTTAANATATATATGTATATATATATATATGCATGCATGCTTTTCTGCAAGTAATAAAAAGTTAAAGAAAAAGCACTGTTAATGTTTACTTTTTGTTATTTTGTTTATATAAAGAGTTCAAAAAATGACCGGCGAATTGAAAAATCTATTAAAGAAAAAGGAAGAGCAATAGAAACGCTTGGTTTGCTGTGTTTTGCTTAGAAAACTTAGTTTAAACTCAACGAATTTCAAAATTGGTTGCTAAGTACGTCAACAGATGGCATTACTTTTTAAAGAACTATATAGCTATGTTTTCTGTTCATACTACACCACCGGCCCCAACTCGAATATTTACTCATAAATCTACGAATTTTTTCTTCAAACTGCATCACATTGTCTACTTTGAAAAAACATTTTTTTTAGTTTTTTCATTTAGCTGCGCCGCTTGTCGATGAAGTTCGTAACTCGTTTTGATGTTTAGTGGGGAAAAAATTATCTGATTATTAAAAAAAGAATGCAACAGACTCGTATATTTCTATCTTCTTAAGTTTTTAATTTATCTTTGCTTGCTTTTTCAAATCGACGGGTTTTTTTTGGGGNGGGGGGGGGGGGTAACCTTGTTTTTGAGACAATGCAATGAAAGCTCTAAATATTTCATTTTCAGAGATTTTAAACTGTGCGTACTGTTGAATATATTAAAGTAAATGTTAAGAAAGAATTTCTTTTTCTAAAATTACACCTAAATTGCTTTTAAACTTTTTCACAGAACTTTAAATAGACATAAATTGCAAATCTATCGTTAAAAATAACTGAAAAGGAAATTTAACTCAAGTCTAAAAATAAAGTGAAATTAATAGTTAGCGAAAAAAAAATTTTTTTTAATAGTGGGAAAACTTTATCATAATTTAGTGTTCCAATAAGGAAAATTTTCGAAATAATTTGCTTACTATTTAATAAAGGAAAGCAAAGACATTCTGGCTGATTAAAATTTGGAAGCAATGAATATTCTATCATATTGTCGTTAAAATTGTCCATAAAGAGATTAGTTGCTTGTAAATGAGGCTGCCTAATTTGAATATTCGCCCTTACCTTATTAAGAATCTTTAAGTTCGAGGATTAATTCCAACATCTTACATACTTCAATTTATCTGACTGAATTTCGGAAACAAAAATGTTATCATTAAATAAATTAAGGTAGCTATTAAATCAAAATCTTAGGTTGAACTTTTTTTTTAATATTTTTAGATTAATTGGAATAGTTAGTAGGGGCTTAAAGAACTGGTATTTTTAAATATTAAATGTGTAATTATTAATTATACTTTCGCTATAAACAGTATATTTAAAACTAATAAAAATAATTGAAATTAGTAACAACAAAATTGAAAATTATTTGCAACTTTTGTTTTCTTTAAAATCATCCTTTACCTTTTTGATAGTCTTAAAAATGAGCAAATTTCTAGAATTTGTATTCCATATATACTATTCGAACTGTGATGTCGTTCAAATTTGCTGTAACTATAATCTTGTGCCTTGTTCAAAGAATCGTGCAAATTCGGTTATTCTATAACTTGATGACATGATTCTGTGGTTTAATTGGAACGATGAACCAAGTTTTAATTATTATCTCATTGAAGTTAAAGAAAATTTGCTTGATAATATGGTTCATGGTACCGGTATTACGGTTAAAGGTTATCCTGGGAGTATAAATCATTTCCAAAATAATAACCCGAAGAAAACTGATTTCCTGTGAGTGGAAAAATAACGGGTAATTTGGTCTTTCAAATGCTTTTTCTTGGTAATTAATTCTGGTTCAATAATGAATTTCATATAAATAATATTGTTTTGAATCAAAACAATAAAATGCATCCTAACGAGTTTATGTTTAAAAGCACCAGAACAGTGTTTGATTAACTAAATGTTTCATTCACTTCAGTGTTGATTAGTCAATAATTAGTTACAAGATTCATAATTTTGAAAATTGAATTTCCGGCAAACTGTTATCATATAAGCAAAAAATTTGTCAAATGAATGGTTTAAATACCGTATATTTCGTCTTAATAACCGGAAGAATGCTTTTTAGCATTTTTTTTTATTAGACAGGCCCTGATTGTTAAAAAACAACCTGTGTATTCAATAAATAATCCCAAGAAACTGATGCGTAAAAAATCGTCTAATCAAATTAATCATTCCCTTTAAAAATATGCAAATTGGAAATAACAGTCGACATGTTTCAATAGCTAAGAAATAGGTGCCCATTTGGTCTGGCAAATCTTAAAAATTGGCACCTATTCCTCATTGTTTGAAACATGTCGATTGTTTATTTCCACTTTGTATATTTTTTGAAGTTAATAAGTTTTTAATAAAGTAACCTGTGTATTTGTTTTACATTAAGATTGATTAAATGCGTCCAAATAAAGTATAAAAAACTTTCGACTAAATGTCTCTTTAAAAAATTGCGGTTTACTTTATAACAAATTATCTATTATTAGCTTAAACCAAGATTAGTTTCATAAAAAATCTGTATTTTTTTATAACTGACTTTATACTTTTTTAAGATAATTTTAATGACAGTGTTGACATGAGAAGGCATTTTTTAAAAAACATTGTTAGAAGAAATATTCGATTTTCGAAGAAGTATGAATCCAACAACACTAAATTAAATTAAATTTAACACGCATTACCGATAAAAAGTTTAAACGCGCCTTTTTCATTACAAGAAGTGTTTTAAGGAAAATTAAAACTGGCACGAATCTTTAAACAACATCGAAAATGAAAAGCAAAGCGGGCGCATTTTTAATGCTTTGAAAAATCATTAGTACTTCTAATGCTTTCCTATGATTAAATTTGACATG